CCCAAGATCCCAGGAGAAGAATGGAGGAGAAGGGATTGCATCGTGGCCATCCTCCCAAAGGGGTGATATCTCACTTTCCCTCCACTGTCTCGGCCTCTGTCTCTCTCTCTCATGCACACACCCTATGGCAAAAACCTCTTTAAAAAGAAAAAATATATACCAAAAGGAGAATGGAGGAGAAGGGATTATAGCATGCCCATTGCCTGTAGGGAGAACTTGCTTACTTTCCTTCTCTCTGACTCAGGCAAGTGCACTTGCCCTATGGCAGATTAAAAAAAAAAAAAAAAAAAAAAAGGAGAAGGAAAAGGAGGAAAAGGAGAAAGAAAAGAAGAACAAGAACAAGGCGTCAACCGCTATTAGGATTCATACTTTTACCCAAGGCCACACCCTGAGGAACTCCAACACTGGCGTAATGGTTATGTCGCTGGACTCCCATATAGTCGACTGTGGTTCAAGTCCAGGACGGGTGGCTTAAACTCACACCAGCCGCATGTACCTGTGTACCCAAGATCCCGAGAGGAGAATGGAGAAGGGATAGCAGCGTGGCCATCCCCCCTGGGGGGTGATTTCTCGCTTTCTGTCTCTCTGTGTCTCTCTGTCTTTCTGGTGAGTGCATGCGCCCTATAGCAAAACCTCTCCAAAAAAAAAAAAAAAGAGGTGGGGGAGAAAGAAAATGATGGGAGAGATGACAGATGCAGAGAACAGAATGAAGCACCACCAGCCGTTCCTAGCCGAGAGCTGCGATAATGAAAGACATTGTAGAAAATGATGTCCCTAAGTTTAGGGAAGATCTGTATGTGCAGACTGAAAGAACTTATGACATTTCGAGTAAAATTAGCTACCTACACAAAGATGGATTTGGCAACAATTTTTAACTACAAAGAAAAAAAAATCCCTGTAGTCATTAAGTCAGGGGGAAGCACACCATCCTTTCCTGGGAGTTCGCCGTGGCTGCGTGAGAATTCTTTTAAACCTCACGTCATCCCAACAACATGGAGGAGCTGACTGCATTTGGGAACTCAACCAAGTCTGTGGGGATCCCTTGGCTCTCCAGCTGCTCAGCTCTGTTTGGTCCCTTGTGGGAGCCTGAACCTCTCCTGGTGCAGACAGGCTGGCTCCCTCCAGAGCTGCAGCTCTGGGTTCACGGTGCAGTAGCTCAGGACCCCAAAAGAAAGAGAGAAAGAGTCTGCCTTCCAGTTCCCCAAAGAAGGACTCAGGATGTCTGCAACTATGTGCTCAGCACTTAGATCCAGGACAGTGGCCTGGAGATGAAGATAATTGATCTAGAGGTGAGTGGATCATGGCCTCTGGTGGGTTTAAATCATCTCACCAGAAGTAAATGTTTGGAGTGAGAAAAATAAATAAATGAAAGGGAGGAAAGATGGTTTGGCAACAAATGCAGAGTCCACTACGGGGCAGGTCTATGAGTTGCCCGCATTACAGACCATGGCAATAAAGATTAGAGAGGTTAAGTGTGGTGGAAGCTCTCCTCTGGGAAGATGCACCCAGAAGATGCAGCTTTCTTTCTTCTCTTGTCCCAGCATAGAACTATGGTGTCACTCCAGGAAGGGCAGGTCGTCCAGTGACATTTACAGTGACATTTATTTATTTATTTATTTATTTATTTGGTTTCTCATAGGATGTATGCCTAGTCGGAGAGGGACAGAGGGAGACAGAGAGAGGAAAAGTGAGAAATCACCCCCTAGGGTGCATGGCCATACTCCAATATTTTCTCCTCCATTCTCTTTTCAGGATTTTGGGCATGTGTGCACATGTGCCCGGCATGATTTTAAAGCGACTGGGTCTGGGTCTCGAACCGTGGTTGGCCATGTGGGAGTCTAATGCCTTAACCGTCACATCACTTGCTGGGCCCTGTGAACAGTTTTTACCACCCCCAGCTTTATGTTACAGACGCTAAACTCCAGGAAATTGCAGGGCAGAGAATTGGAGCACCCTTTTCCTTCCACCTCCACCTTAGGACAGTTTTACTATATCAGTGGCTGACTGCAGTACTAGCCCCTGATCACTCCCACTCCAGCTTGCTCACAAGGTGGAGCTTCCAAACTGGAGGAGCAAGACAAAAAGATTAGGGGCTAGTATCCTTGCCCAGTGCTGCTCTTATAGAGCGAGGTGTTACTGTGGAAGAAGTAGGCCACCATCCTCCTCCTTGCACACACTTCAGGTGTAGTGGTGCAGGATTCTACTCAGGAGAGGGAGCCCAAAAGAACAGATGTGGGGCCAGAAGGTGGCGTGGAGGTTAAAGTGCTGGATCCCACGTGACCCACTGCACCAGTCAAGTCCCAGATCTGACGGCTTGAAAAGCATGCTGGAGGGAACCAGCAGTTAGCGTAATGGCTATGTCGCTGGACTCCCATGTAGTCGACCGCGGTTCGTGTCCCGGACCCGGTGGCTTAAAACTCACGCCGGGCGCGTGTGCGTGCGTGCCCAAGATCCCGAGAGGAGAATGGAGGAGAAGGGATTGCGGCGTGACCATCCCCCCTGGGGAGTGATTTCTCGCTTTCTGTCTCTATGTCTCTCTCTGTCTGTCTGGCGAGCGCACGCGCCCTACAGTGAAAAATCTCTTTAAAAAAACAAACAAACAAAAAAGCATGCTGGATGCATATGGGTGCATGCCCAAAATCCTGGAAGGAGAGTGGAGAAGGGTTTGTGGAATGCCCATCCCTCGGTGGGTGATTTCTCACTGTCACTCTCCCTAGTGAGTACACATGTTCTTTCTTTTCTTTTTTTTTTTTAGAGGTTTTTGCTATAAGGCGCGTGCGCTCGCCAGAAAGACAGAGAGAGACAGACAGACAGAAAGCGAGAAATCACCCCCTAGGGGGGATGGCCACGCCGCAATCCCTTCTCCTCCATTCTCCTCTCGGGATCTTGGGCACGCACGCACATATGACTAGCGTGTATTTAAGCCACTGGATCCGGGACTCGAACCGCGGTCGACTACATGGGAGCCCAGTGACATAGCCATTACGCTAGCTGCTGGTCCCGTGAGTACACATGTTCTATAGCAAAAAGGTAAAATAAATAAATAAATAAAAATAAGGAAGGAATCTGGCAGTGGCACAATGGTAACAAAACTGGCCCACATAGGAAAGGTCCTCAGTTCCCATCCCAGGACTTCCCTGAGCACACTGGGAACATACATTTGTGCCCATGATGCAGGCCAGCTGAGACTGGGGGGTGGATCTCTGAGTGAAGACCCTATTAGGGGTACCTGTCTCTCTCTCTGTATTTCTTTTACTCATTGAAGAAATACACTTAAAAAATTATAAGGAAGAAAAAATATATTTACAGTATTCATTGAATAAATCTGTGCATAAGTGGACTCACACAGTTCAAATCTTTGTCATTCAAGTGTACAGCATTATCATTTTCTAATGGAATGCTTCTGTGTACACTCAACCTAGCTCCCCATGGTCATTTTAAGTGGTAAACCTCACTCTCTTTCAGCTTCCCAAATCAGTTGCCATGCTTTCCATTAAATGAACCCACCCAGAAGCTGGAGGGCAAGGAAACCTGTTGATTCAGTCCTTTTTGGGGCACAGAGCAGGTAGAGAACAGTGTAGTAACTCTGGAAGGGCAAATGGAAGATATCCAGAAAAGCCCATAAACGGCATTGATGTCATTGCTGTGATTTTCTAAAAACATTAAGCCATTCTTGGTAACGTTCCAAACAAAACAACACACACTTCATTCAATTTACACAGTAGTTCCATTCCTGGAAAATTCCATGCACATTAAAACCGTGCAAAAAATATTTCGAGTTTTATGCACTTCAGCAGCAATATACTAAAATTGGAATTATACAAAGAAGATAAGCACGGTCCCCAGACTAGAATGGCATGCAAATTTGCAAAAGCACTCCATATTTTAAAAAATAAATTTTATAAAAAGAAAAAAGCACTTTGAGTTTACATGAAAAAATGAGGTTAGGTTTAGACTCAGATCATTACAGACAGATTTTTTCATATACATGAATGTATATGGGGACATTTGAAAATTCTGTACTATATGAGAAAATTCTTCTTTGCAGGAATGTCACATGCATTGAAGGACATATGACATTCTTGGCTCCAGCCCACTAAATGCCAGCAGATCTGTGCCAGAAGATTCCCATCAATCACAGTAACAACCAAAATAGCTCCACATGTTTTCAAAGCACACCTCTGAGTGATACTGCCCCCAGGGGGACCCACTCTCCTAAGATGAATGTTCAGTTTTGTAGATTTTGAGTATGGTTCTTCATCTACTTAGTGTTTAGGGCAACATTGAATGTAAGAAATGACTTCTTGGGGACCAGCAGATGGTGTAATAGTTACGTTGCTGGACTCCCACAAAGTCGACCACAGTTTCTTTTCTTTTTTTTTTTTTGGAGAGGTTTTCGCTATAGAGCGCATGCGCTCGCCAGACAGCCAGAGAGAGAGACATAGACACAGAAATTGAGAAATCACTCCCCAGGGGGGATGGTCACGCCAGAATCCCTTCTCCTCCATTCTCCTCTTGGGATCTTGGGCATGCATGCACACGCGCTGGGCGTGAGTTTTAAGCCACCGGGTCCGGGACGCGAATCGCAGTCGACTACGTGGGAGTCCAGCGACATAGCCATTACGCTAACTGCTGATTCCCAAAGTCAACGGCAGTTTGAGTTCCAGATCCTGTGACTTAAAACTCATGCCAGGCACATGTGTGTGCATGCCTAAAATCCCAAAAGGAGAATAGAGGAAGAGGGATTGTGGCATGGCCATCCCTCCTGGGGGTTGATTTTTTTGCTTTCTGTCTCTCCATTAAATGTGCACACCCTAGAGCAAAAATCACTCTCTCTAAAAAGGAAAAAGAAAAGGACAGGAAAGGAAAGAAGAGAAAGGTAAAGAAAAGGAAAAGGAAGGAAAGGAAAGGAAAGGAGAGAAAAGAGAAGAAAAGAAAAATTACTTCTCAGGCCGGCAGGTGGTGTGGTGGCTGAGGCATTGGATTCCCACATGACCAACCATGGTTCGATTTCCAGACCCAGCAGCTTGAAAATCACACAGAGCACTGTGCATGCATTCCCAAAATCCCAGGGGAATGGAGGAGAAGGGATTGTAGCATGGCCGATCTCCTTTGGGGAGTGATTTCTCACTTTCCCTTTCTTTGTCTCTCTCTGATGAGCACACATGCCATATGGCAAAAGCTTATAGAAATAAATAAAATAATTGGCTTCTCAATTTATGGGTCCCTATCAATCCAATATACAGAAGACTCTGACCAAACACTTTCTGCCATTTCTGGCAACATATAATTGTGAATTGGAATTTTCTGATTTAATATAAAGAAAAAGTAAGAAAATAACTGAGTGGATAAGAAGCTCAAACTTCACACAGAGCTAGCTAAACATGTGTTAATAATTTGTTCATGTCACTTGAAATTAAGCTGTACATGGTCCCCAATTTACAATGGCTCCATTTAGGATTTTTCCACTTTATGATGATACAAACACATCAGGCATTCAGTAGAAACTGTACTTTAACACCAGACACACACGTGCCCGTGATCCAGGGCTGGCTAAGGCTCAGGGTGGATCACGGCATCAAGGACCTGCTAGGGGTACTGTTTCTCTCTCATTCATGGAAGAAATGAACTTAAAGAAAAAAATACACACAACCATTCTGTTTTTCACTTTTGTTATGGTATTTGAGAGATCACATGAGATATCTAATACTTTATTGTAAAATAGGTTTTTTTAAAAAAATATTTTATTTAACTTTATGTATTTATTTTATTTTAATGTGACCAGAGAGGAACAGAGTGAGAGAGAGAGAGGAAAAGTGAGAAAGCAAGCCGCCAGGTCCAGGACTCGAACCATGGTTGGCCATATGGGAGTCCAGTGCCCTTAAACAACACGCCACCTGCCAGCCCCTAAAATAGGTTTTGTTTTAGATGATTTTGCACAACTGTACACTAACGTAAGTGCCCTGAGCATATTTAGGGTAGATTTGGCTAAACTATGATGTCTAGTAGGTTAGGTGTACTAAATGCCTTTTTTTTTTTTTTTTTTTTGAGAGGGTTTTGCTTTAGGGCACATGTGCTCCAGAAAGACAGAGAAAGGAAGCAAGAAATCACCCCCACACCAGGGGGATGGCCACGCAGCAATCCCTTGTCCTCCATTCTCCTCTTGTGATCTTGGGCACGCATGCACATGCACCCGGCATGGGTTTAAGCCACCAGATCCGGGATTCGAACCGTGATCAGCCATGTGGGAGTCTAGCAATGTAATCATAACGCCATCTGCTGGTCTCTTAAATGCCTTTTTGACTTACAATAGTTTCTTTTAAAAAATAATTATCTATTTTATTAATTATTATTATTTTTTAATTTGACCAGAGAGAGAGGGAAAGTGAGAAAGCAAGATGCCAGGTCTGAGACTTGAACCATGGTCAGCCATGTAGGAGTCTAGCACCTTAACCACCAGGCCACCTGCCAGCCCCAACTTACAATATTTTCAATCTACGGGACCAGCAGTTAGCTTAATGGCTATGTCGCTGAACTCCCATGTAGTTGACCATGGTTCAAGTCCTGGACCCGGTGGCTTAAACTCATGCGTGTGTGCCCAAGATCCCGAGAGAATGGAGGAGAAGGGATTGTGACGTGGCCAGCCCCCCTGGGGGGTGATTTCTCGATTTCTATCTCTCTGTCTCTCTCTGTCTTTCTGGCGAGTGCATGCACCTTATAGCAAAAACCTCTCAAAAAAAATGTTCAATTTACAATCAATTTATCAGGACATAACCCAGTCATAAATCAAGGAGCAACTGTATAGCATTTTTCTGTTTTTGATTTTAAAGTAATTCATCCACATTACTTTAAAATTAGAAAATTAAGACATAAAGAAAATAAAAATAAAAACACATAGGGCCAGCATGTGGCATGTTGATTAAGGTGCCAGATTCCCACATGGCTAACAGTGGTTTGAATCCCAGACCCAGCAGCCTGAAAAATTCACACCTGGTGCATGTGTCTCAAAACTGGAGAGGAGAATGGAGGAGAACCAGGTCCAGGACTGGAACTATGGTCAACTATGTGAGAGTCCAGTGACTTAACCATTATGTCATCCGCTGGTCCCTCCCTGGAGCCTTTTACATAGCAAAAGGAACTTTGAGATGTGACTAAACTAGGGATCTTGAGATGGAGAAATTATCCTGGACTATGTGGGTGAGTCCAAAATAATGACAAGGATCCTTATAAAAGGAAAGCCAGAGGGTCAGAAGGCAGAGAAAGGCATGTGATGATACAAGCCTAAAGAGGCTGGGGGACCAGCAGTTAGTGTAATGGCTATGTTGCTGGACTCCCACGTAGCTGACTATAAATAAATAAATAAATAAATAAATAAATAAATAAATAAATAAATAAATAAATAAAGAGGCTGGAGTAATGCAGCCATGAACCAAGGGATGCCAGCAGTCTCTAAAAGCTGGAAGAGGGAAAAATACATTCTCCCTCAGAGCCTCCGCAAGTAACCAACTCTGCTGACACCTTGATTTTAGTCCCATAAGACCCATTCCAGACTTCTGGCCTCCAAAACTATGAGAATAAATCTGTGTTTTTTAAAAACTTATTTATTTAATTTTACTTATTATTATTATTTTTAATTCGACCAGAAAGGACAGAGAGAGAGACAGAGAGAGAAAGGGGAAAAGCGAGAGAGCAAGCCACCAGGTCCAGGACACGAACCACGGTCTGTCATGCGGGAGTACAGTACCTTAACCACCACACTATCTGCCGGCCCCTGTGTTGTTTTAAGCTACTACATCTGTGGTAATTCATTGCAGCAGCACTAGGAAACTAATACACATTCCTACAACCCCAGAGATCCCCATTGTTAACACCCAAGTACCTGAACTTCAACTTTTTCCTATACTATCATGTGTGTGGTGGTGAAGGTGCTGAACTCCCACGTGGCTGACAGTGCCTCGAGTTCCAACCGGCAGCTTGAAAATCACGCCAGTCACATGTGTGCACTCCCAAAATCCCATGAGGAGAATGAAGGAGAAGGGCTTGCTGCGTGGCCATCCCCTGGGAGATGATTTCTCACTTTCCGTCTCTCTGTGTCTCTGTCTCTTTCCAGTGAGTACATGCACCCTATGACAAAAACCTAAAAATAATAAAAATAAATATGTAATTTTACTTCTCCTATATTTAATAAGCTTATGAAATGGAAATTCAAAGTCAAATGTCTGAAAAAGCACTTACAATGAACAAAAAAGGTCCCTAATATAAATCAGTCACTTGTTTTCAGAAATAGCAATTTTTTTGAGCCTGAGCTCAAAAGTTTTTTTTTTTTTTTTTTTAAGAGATATTTTTAAGAGATATTTTTTGCTACGGGATGTGTGCACTTGCCAGAGAGACAGAGAGACAGAAAGCAAGAAATCACGCTCCCAGGGTGGATGGCCACATTGTAATCTCTTCTCCTTCATTCTCCTCTTAGAATTTTAGGCATGCACGTACACGCACCTGAAGTGAGTTTTAAGCTGCTGGGTCTGGGACTCGAACCGTGGTCAACTACATGGGAGTCCAACATTGTAACTATTACACCATCTGCTGGGCCTAATAATAAAATTTTTAAAAAGTCATAATAAATGACAAGAAGTCATATTCACTGTGGATGAGAATGCAAAATGGTACACACATTGTGGAAGACAGTTTGGCATTTTCTACAAAATTGAACATACTCTTACCATATGATCCAGCAGTCATGGTCGTTGGTATTTACCCAAATGAATTAAAAACTTATGTCCACATAAAAATCTGCATATAAATGTTTATAGCAGCTTTATTCATAATTGCCAAAATGTGGAAGCAACTAAGATGTCCTAAAATGGGTGAATGGATAAACAAATTGTGAT